CCCAGGCATGTGCCCTGACCAGGAATCGAACCAGGACCTCTCAGTCCATGGGGCAACACTCATTCCACTGAGCCACACTGGCCGGGCACTCATACATAAAGTTTTTTAAAAATCTGTGTTGTTTTTTTTTTTACTGCATATTGGTCCATCTCAGTGAGTGTACCCTTTTCCTACCCAAATGAGAATCAAACACTTTCTAAGGAAAGAGGACTGGAGCCCTAGACTCCTGCTGTCAACGTCTAGATGACTGGATGGACCTGCCAATACAGTGGTCTATGCAGTGTGTTTGGGAAGATCAGATGTATCCCTGTAGGTGAAAGTACTTCTGAGAACGCTAGTGTTCTATATGGGTCAGTCTGCCAACTTCAGATGAAAAGGAAGCTTATAGCTTCTTCAGATGGGCAACGAATGTCCAAATTACACTTGTATTTAGAAAAGCTCCTTAGACATATATGAGAATCCTCTTTTTTTTAATTAAAAAAAATTGATTTTAGAGAGAGGAGAGGAGAGGGAGACAGAAACATCGATGCTAGAAGAGAAACATCATCGGCTGTCTTCCTGCATGTGCCCTCGACTAGGATCGAAACTGAAACCCCGGCTTGTGCCCGACGGAGTTGAACTGGTGACCTTCCAGTGCATGGGACGACGCTCAACCAACTGAGTCACACTGGCCAGGGCTAGACATAGATGAGGATCTTAATGACAGCTGGTTCAAAACACTTTAAGCATCAGCCTCCTCCCTCCCCTAGTATCACCAAATTATTATGTATATTCTTTTTCTAAAGTTATGTTTTATTATTTTATTTTTATTATTTTAATCCTCATCCAAGGATATTTGTACATTTATCATGAGATAGAGTGGGAGGGAGGGAGGGAGGGAGAGAAACATCAATGTGAGAGAGACACATCGACTGGTTGCCTCCCTCACAATCCGACCAGGGCTGGGGACCAACTGCCACCCAGGAAAATGCCCTTGATCAGAACTGAACCCGCGACTCATTGGTCCAAGGGCTGACGCTCAAACCACTGAACCAAATCTGCCAGGGCTATATATATATTCTTAAAGCCCTTTTCATTAAGCATGAACTACATTTTTCCATACTTTTAAAAATCATGTAAGTTTAACTCCAGGTGGTTGCACAGGCCAAAACGCCCTTGTTATCTTTGTAAATTTCTTCCCCATCACTCAGGAGTCTTCTGATTTAAAAAAATTATTACTCAGTCTTCAGAGATAGCACAATTTCATATCATACTCAAGTCTGCAAAGTCAAAATGTGTTGTCAGCGACTTTGGATGTAGGTATTACAGACTGGAGGAGCTCGCCCATGGACGGCACTGAGAACAGGCGGGGCCCCTTGGAGACTGTGCCTAGTGAATGCGGTGGGTAGGTGGGTCATCATTCTAGCATAGGGCCTAGGAGTCAACAGTGGGGGTCCAGCAATTCTACCTTATCAATACCCAGGATCAATTAGTCTTTGGGCACTAATTCATAATGCCTTAACTCATAAAAGGTTGAAGAATAAAGAAAAGTGACTATTTACATTAGAGGCCATAATTCTTTTCAACAGTTAAAATGTATACACTCTGTCTAGTTCACTCTTTTCCAAGTAAGAGGGTTCTCGGGAAACTGCCGGAGAGAAAACGCCTCTATCCCAGAGACCAGACATGCCTATGCCTTCGTTCCTGAGTGGTGCCAGAAACAGTTCCTACTCTCTGCGCCTCTTTCTTCTAGACTCTAGGTCCAAACCCTCACCTGTTTCTTCAGTATGTTGACACCACTGATGAGGTGCTGGATTTCTTCATTTTCATGCATGACCTCAACTCCCAGATTGTACATTAACCCTGACCCTTCCAACTCTAATCTGGAAACACCCGCGGTCCGAGGATGGCCAATTTTATCTAAGGTGTGTGGATATTATTAGCAATGACAACTATAGCAACAGTAATTAACATTTACTGAACACTTACCATGTGACAAGCATGGTAATAAATGCTTTATCTTCATTAACTCATTGAATTCTTTTTATCCTCACCCAAGGACATGTTTGCATTTATTTTCAGATGGAAGAGAGGGGGAAAGAGAGAGAGAGAAACATCAATGTGAGAGAGACACATCGACTGGTTGCTAACCACAGGACCCCAACCGGGGCCAGGGACAAATTATAACCGAGGTACGTGCCCTTAGCAGGAACCGAACCCAGGTCTCTCTGGTCCACAAGCCGACGCTCTAACTGCTGAGTGAAACTGGCCAGGACTCAATGAATTCTTATAACAACCCTCTAAAGTAGGTACTAATAACTAGCCCCATTTTATAGATAAAGAAGTCAAGACTTTGGGTGGTAACTTGCCCAAGTTAGTAAGTCGCCCATTTCATTACACAGTTAGTAACTAGTAAAGCCAGGATTCGAGCCTATGGGCTTTTGACTCCAGCGCCTGGGCTTTTTGACCATTAGGCAATACTGCCTCTAGGAGGAACCTTAACCCACCTCTGGGAGCATCTCACTGTGGACGCCCATACACTCAACACAATAAACAGTGACAAGTGGTCATGAGCACTTTCTTTGTTAAAATTTAAGCTTAAAAATACAGTTGACCCTTGAACAATATGGAGTTTAAAGGGCGCTAACCCCCCAAGCAGTTGAAAATTCCTATATAACTTTTGACTCCCCCAAAACTTAAGTTGTCCATCGGTATCCATAGAGGATTGGTTCTAGAACTCCCTGCGAATACTAAAATTCTCAGAGGCTCGTCTCTATAGAAAATGATATAGAACAACGCATACAGTCAGCCCTCCACATCCATGGACTCCTGGCTTCAGACCAAAAACAGCATAGGTATTTATTGAAAAAAATCCGCATATAAGTGGACCCGCACGGTTCAAACCTGTGTTGTTCGTGGGTCAACTGTAATTGGTCTGGATATAATTGTTAGAAATCAAGCCATGATCGGGGGGGGGGGGGGGGGATACCTATAAAAAGAGACATGGTGAAATCTGAGAACCCATTTATACAAGTCAAGGAATCCACACTATATTGCTCATAGTGTAATTCTAAACATTGCCTGTTGTGTGGTGAGCTTAGGGGAAATGCTGAACAAGACACAGTCACACATAAGACCCTGCCCTCACTGGGAAGGAAGCCAAGAATTACTGCCACCTCCACCCAGAGGGAGAGCCCTACCAAAGGCCACAGAGAAGACAGTGCCCCCTTCTGAAACTGCTTCCTATTTCTGCCGCTGTGGGAGTTTCCTCATGAATAAACAAATAATCGAGTGTTTCTAGCATTTCCTTTGTGATTCAGATCAGTAAAGCAATACGCCTTTGGTGCTTGTTTATGATAGACATATCACAAATACTTCATACCCCAAATAGCTTTCAGAAAACCAACATTGAAAAGTAGTTCTAAGGCCTTTTCCACTGATCTAAACGTTTCTGTTTTTCTACGTAGAATTAAAATTTAAAAAAATCCAGATGTAAGTGGAAGCTGTTTGAGTAGATCAAGACAATGGGAAGAAAATAAAAATCACAGCTAATCCCCAAACCTCATTTCAACCACTAGCACTCTCCCGCTTCAGGCATTTCACAACATGGCTGATGAGTTGTCAACAATTACTTTATTGAGCATCAACAATTACTTTATTGAGCAATGCAACGTGCACAGCACTGTACGTAGCTTGAAAATGTCAAATTGACTTTTGTCACACCCTCTCTAAAGGCTTCCCGAAGTCCCACGGTTCTGTGGTCTTGCCGCCTGTGCTGCAGGGAGCAGGCTGCTAGTACCCGTGTAGCACTTACCATGTCACATGTCTCAGTTGTACCAGGTGGTCTCCCTACTAGATTTCTGAACTCCTCAAAGAGGGGATCCAATGTAGTGTTTATCCCTGCAACCTTGGTGTTCAAATACCTATCGGACAGATGAATGATTGAATGAATGACGTGTGCTTCACTCTGGTTCCTTCTCCAAACTCCCTAGTCTGTGATTAGGTGGAGGTGTTAATGCTGAGTGAGAAGCCAACATTCAAAAGGCACAATGGAAAAGGAGTGTCCGCAGCGTGGCTAGTCCACACACTGGAAAGTCAGCTCCCTAATGATGAAAGGTGGCTGACCTCCCCCAGGGCCTGAGAACACAACAGAGCCACAGAAACATCTCGAAGCCAGAAGATGGGGTTGGTCAACCCAAACTCCCACTTCAAAACCCAAACAGCTGGTTGGGAGCAGACCAGCAGTCGGCCACGTGCTGGTCCACGGTGCCTGTGAGCCAGAGGCACAGCCCTCTCGAGTGGTCCAGTGGAGAGTCTCAGCCACCTAAACTTAAGGATATTTTTTGCTTCATGATCCCTCCCCAGATTTAAAAAAAAAAGGCCATGCAAGAATAAATAAATAAGACACTAAACAACAAGCTGTGAAACAGAAGACATTTCCAAATGGCTGTTAAGAAGCAGTTTGGATGCCCTGCTCCTTGCATGGTGCCAAGGGGCTCAAGCTGCCATGGATGCCCTCTGTGGGGCCTTCAGTCTGCAAATATGGACTGTGTGCAAACAGAGTCCGTGGGAGGCAGTGAGCATGATGCTGAGCATGGATGACCAGCTGTGTCACTACAGAGGCCGAATCCAACAGATTAGTCTGCGTGATGGATGACGGAGAAAACTCTGCCATGGTCCAGAGGCAGCTGAATAGTACCACACACACCGTATATCTGACATCCCAGGTGTGATGGGACATGTGCAAAAGATACCGTCGGGTAGCTGTGAAACCAAGGGCAAGCTTGTTGCCGCCCTGTGCCTCAGGCTCCTCGACCAATGAAGGTTTGGCCAGACTGTCTCTCTGGTCACTTCTAAGATTCTCTTTCTTTCCTCTGGCAGGACTCTTGACCCATCAGTACCCTCACCCTTCCACGTACCTTCACACTGTTGAGATGAAGGAAAGCCCACTTGCAGGCGTTAAGGCTCACAAACAGAAGTGTTGGTGAAATACTGCTTAAGAGTCCTTTTTTTTTTTTCCCATGAGGAGAGGGTAAACACAGTCCCCCACTACCACATATTATTCAGTCGAGTTTCCCACATTTGGGAAAACAGCAGGGGTCAGCACATCTGGAGTGCAACGGATAAGCCTCGCCCTGGGAAAACCACCTCTGTGCTCATGGTGTCCCCCCTGCCAGGTAAGTATTACCGCTCAAGATTCTTAAGTTGAGTTCATAGCTCCCTATCATGGACCGGTCTGCGGTCAGAGTCCCCAACCCTGCATCACAGACTGATCAGGGCGCCAGCCTGCTGGCTGCTCTTCTACTTTGAGTCCAATTCAATTACTTTTCTGTAAAATGTAACTCACTACGCTCGTGGTTCTCGTCCACCAACCTGATACAAATAGTTGAACCATCATTCTCTCTTCGTTATCTTTCTGGACCCCACGTTTTTGCATCTGACGTTCAGATGAATGGTGGCCTGCATTCCCAAGGTCAGTGTTTGACACTTGGCCCCCTTTGTACCTCACGGCAATTCTTTAGAGCACTCAGAAAAATCCAGACATTTATTCTGAGCTGTGGAAGGCAGAGCAAAGTTTGGGAGACTCTGCTTCCTCTTCTTAACATTTTCAGAGCACGATTTAAAATGACAAGTGTTTGATCAAAACATCGGGGATTAGCTCTCAAGTCGAATTTGCATTAATGGGAGAGTTATATTTTCTAGCCTCAAACACACTATAAAAATAATTGCTTAAGAGACAATTCTTAGCCAAGTTTATACGTATATAAACTTCCCAGATTGCTAGAATAGTTTTGTTTGGTGGCTCTTTTTCATACATTTGTACCAAAACAACCATTTAAGGACAGAAGTCAGTGTGTTCTACTGTGCTAGGTATTTGCTTGATGTATAAGAAAGACTGATCTAGTATGTTGCAGAATTTGAATTTTATATTAGCTTAACATGTTGGTCTCTGAGCTCAATCTTGTCAGCCAGAGATTTAATATATTTTAGGTTAATCCAAGCTTGGCTAGGGATGTCCTGGGACCTACAGCACCTACTCAGAGCTGGGCTCCGACCCTGGTGCCCTCTTCTTTAAACCTGAGAAGACTGTACTACATTGTTCAAGGGGCCAACAGTCTTTGTTCTTGCATTCAAAATTTGTTATGCCACATTTGGCATAAAATGCTTATCGTTACATAAAAGAAAAATACGGCAAAATTCAACTTCAGAGAAAAAACATCTTAAAGGTCCTTGGGAGCCAAGGAAAGCGAAGAGATGCAGCAGATTCTACACCCTAAGAAAGCTATGTCAACAGGGAAGCATGTCTCCAAGGTCAGCTGGGTTGGGGACAAAGAGAGGCAAAACACAAACTGGCCAAGAATATTTTTATCAATTTTGCCTCGAGTCTCAGAGAGTGACAGGAGGAACACGGTTTCTTTCTCATTGTTGCAGAAACTCTTTGGTTTGAAGTTGTCCCCTTTCTAATTCTTCCCTCTTCTGTAATTTGTGATTATCACACCTGAACACCAGAATATCTCAGCGGGTCATCTGTACCAGAGTAAACAGCCAAAGGTTCCTGTTTAGAAGTCTGCCCGGATCGCATCAGATGACCACACGTCGTCCTACCCTGAACATTTCTCTAGGGGCAGGTCTAAACTGTACCATCTTCCTTTGCAAAAACATACAGACATGCCCATGAAAGGCCAAAATATAATGATAATTGATAGTGAACAAAACCCATTGTACAGACAAAGTATTCCAGCCTTCTCTATTAAAAAAAAAAAAAAAAATTCAAATTTACTGTGACTGGCCACTATTAGGTTTTTGAGTTCTATAACTCCCCAGAATTGTCAAAAGAAACCCTGTAGCCAATTCGCTTGAAAACACTAAAAACAACCTGAAATAGGCCACCCATGGTACCAAAAGCAGTGTCAAAGAGCAGAGAGATGGTGCCACCGAGGCCCATTGCAATGTCCTTGCACACGACTGGAATGGCGCCCATGGTGTACACAGGGAAAGTGGCCACATCCACAAGGACTCGCACAGGGATGCCCAGAATGCGGCAAACAACCTTCAGCAGACAACAGAGGATCCGGAGAATGGCCCTGATGATTTTCACTATGACTTTGAGGACCTTCCAGGGAATGCTCGCCAGCTCTTCCCCAATGGCCAAGAAGTACGAGACGGTGGCTGAACCCAGGTGGTACAGGCAACTTTCTATGCCGTTAATCACCTGCTTGGTGACATACCACAGGAGATACACAGTGTTCTTCAGGATTCCTACCACAAGGTAGCAGATTAATTGGAAAAGCTTGACGAATGGGGCAGCGATGAAGCCCAAGAGTTTCCTTGAAAAGCTACTTCCTTCCTCCGATGCCTCTGGGGGAAGCTGAGTGGACCTCTGGCTCCGTGCGCTGGGGACAGGGCCAGTGCTTTCTTTAGACTGCACCAGCCGCTCTTCATCCTGGACTTGGTTAACCATTTCCAGGATTTTTTTCATTTTCTCTGTGTCCTGTTCTGTTTCACCACAGTTGTTGTGGAACAACTGAGGGTTAAACGGAAGCAGTTTCTCGAGGTCCTTCACCATCACGTCTTCTATGACATCACCGTCCCTGGTGTGCTTGACAAAGCCCATGGCCCAGCCTCCACCAGGGACCGCACAGCAGGCTGCCAGCCAAACAAACTTAGGGACGGTCACTTTGTCTTTGACTCTGATGTCTGAGGGCACAGCGCCTGTGATAACATACAGGTCGTCCCCACTGCCACACTGTGGGGTCAGGGCCCGGTCCATTAGGCTGTTGAGATTCATGTACCACCGTTCCTGGAAGGTCGGGCTCATCGGAGCTGCATTTGTGAGAGTGAAGATGGCCGTGTGGACATCACTGCTAAGGGAGAATGGGTACAGCTGTCCTCTCTGATAGTCAGAACCCAGGTAATCGGTATTCAAGGCTTGCTTGCTTCCCAGATTGTCCACAGTGGTGATGGCGTCAGCCTCATGAGTCACCTCCTCAAGGCTGCTGTTGGGGTCATCGATCTGAAAGAAGAGAGGGATGTTCAGATGCACAGGTGCTCAGCAGTGAGGGTGCCTTGAATCCCTCTGCCAAGACTCTGACCGAATCCCCGTTACACTTCCTACGCTTGGGTTTGGATGGGCTTGCTTTCTGGTGCACCCACATTTCATTCTAACATCCCCCAAATCTGATGTTTGAAAGCATCTTTCAAACATGCTATTTCCAAGCATCTTTCAAACATGCTGTTTCATATTTTACTCTCTGTGTATCTTCCACTCCTGATCTTCCACTACACACACACACACACACACACACACACACACACACACCATCATGACATTCATTTCTAATCTGCTCTAGTTTTATGAATTTCATAGCTCTCTTTTGCAATATTTTTCCATGAGATGCAACTTGATTGTAAAGATGAAAGCAAGGGGAAAGTAGATCTCAAAAGGCCCATAAAAATCAGAAATGTGATCCAGAGACTCAGCCACCATGTTGGCTGCAATTTAATGAACACATCCTTAATGAATATTTATATACTTTGGGATATATAAAAAATCAACTCCAATCAGAGCATCTAAATCAAATGAGGGAAAATATATAGCTTATTGTCAGTTATTTGATTCTTATCAGGCTAAACTAAAGTTATGATTTCGCCAACTGCTGTTTGACTTATTCTCCCCATGACATTTACTATTACAAACAATTACTTTTCTCTCTAGGTCGATCTAGATATATACCAGTAATGTATCAACAAACCTACTTTTGCCCAACACTGTGTATGTGTATATGTATGTATATAAAATCTTGGTTTTGTTTCTTTTCTTTTTTAATTCAGCAGTTTAATGTATACTTTCACTTTACCAATCTGAAAGGACAAAAGGAAAAAGCTTTGGCCTGACTCAGAACTTCTAAAACGAGACAATTCCTTGATACCAGGGACCCTGTATACTCCCCACAGGGCCTAATCAAAGACTGACACATATTAGAATCCCAAGGTACTACTTCATCATCATGCCCTGAGATCACCATCAGGGCAGTTAGGCATAACAGCAGGGAGTTGAACCAACCCACATTTTCAAAAACAAGGCAAGTTAAGTAAACAATATACCTATCAGAGAAATATCTCAAAGTCATCAAAAACCACTTGTAATGATGGGGAAATATATGCTACATTGTTGACAGGAAAAGACAGGATATAAAATTAAATAAAAACAGTTTTTTAAGTCTAAAAATAGGCAAGAAAAACTTTGGAAGGAAACACAAGAAAATGTCTGCAATGGTTATTTGATTCCTGGGGAAGCTAGTGATTCTTTTCCTCTACTTTCTTGTTTTTCTTCCTACACCACTCCTAGTGACATCAACCCACAAATTATATTACGTGTTACTTTCAAAAGGAAACAAACAAAAAACAAATTAAAATAAGTAAATTCTTATTTTTTAATGATTTAAGTCTGTTAAAAATTTTTTTTTCTTCTTTTGATTTTTTTAGAGAGGAAGGGAGAGGGGAAAAACATCAATGAGTGAGAACATCAATTGGCTGCCTCCTGCATGCCCCCCCACTGGGAATCAAACCCGCAACCTGGGAATCGAACCGGCGACCTCCTGGTGCATGGTTTGACACTCAACCACTGAGCCACACTGGCTGGGCTAAAATAAGTAAATTCTTAATAACTGATTCCCTAAAGTTAGTGCTACTCACTAAACCCAAGGAAGTCAAGTCCATGTAAATTGTGTTATACTTATTGGGAGGAAAACCAACAATGCATTTATTTCTCCAACTTCGCAATGGCAAATGTGGGAATTCTCATGAAAATATGTGCAGGGTTAGCCAAGGGCAATCAATAGATGAGCAAACTGATGGGAAAGTAGGAGTATTTCCTGAAGTCTACTGGATTACTCCATAGGCTCACCTTTCAAGGCTGTTTCATCCCCTCCCTTAGTCTTAGAATCAGCAATGATCCTAGGTGTTCTCCACACCCACCAGATCCCCAGAGGACAAACAGCTCATTCATGTTGTAAAGCTTCTGCTGCTGCTCTCCTATGGCTGAAAGATATGCCACATGGCAATATCAGACTCACTCCTGAATCGTGAGCTCAGGATATGGCAGCGACAAGATTGTGGAGTCCTGGGTGTAAAGTCATGGATTTCAAGATGCATGTGTTTCCATGGTTACCAGGCATTCTGTCTGCATTCAGCCTACAACTTCTTGGTCCCCTCTAGGGAAAGTCTGGAGCTGATTTTTGAATTGGCAGCCCTGTGGCAGCACAGGCAGCATGCAGGTGTGTCTTCAGCTCAAGGGCCGTCGGGGTGAAAGGTGCCTAGAGGGGTGGATGGCAGGCCTGGAACATGAGCAGAGACAAGAGACTCTTGGATGAGGAAAGGGAAGGAGCAAGAGAAAGAAGCAAAAGGTAAGGGAAAAGAAAAGAAGAGGGGAGGGATAAAAGAAGAAAAAGGAAGGAATAAAAGATAGGGGGGCCCTGGCTGGTTTGGCCCAGCAATTAGGGCATCGGCCTGTGGTCCAGAGGGACCCGGGTTCAGTTCCCACTAAGAGCAACTGCCTCAGTTGCGGTTTGACTCTGGCCCTGGTTGGGTTGTGCGGGTGGCAACTCGATGTGTCCCTTTCATGTCGATGTTTCTCTATCTCTCCCTCCCTCCCACTCTATCTGAACAAAAAATGGAAAAGTGTCCTTGGTGAGGATAAAAAAAAATTTTTTTTTTTTAAAGGGAAAGAAAAGGAGAGAAATGTGTGTGTGTGTGTGTGTGTGTGTGTGAGAGAGAGAGAGAGAGAGAGAGAGAGAGAGAGAGAGAACACAATAGCCTTTTAGGCAGAAACCAGGACTGTGGACTGACTTATTCCCAAGCTTCAGCACATGGCCTCCCAACTGCCACGGTCAGAGGAGACGTAGCTGGTTGCCTCTGCATCCTCTCAGACTACTTGGGTTCATGGGGCTTCAAATTCTGCTGTGACTGTGTACCAGGCAACCGGGTCAAGCTTTTCTGCCCACGCTTCATAGGTACAAAGGAAATGGGCCAGGACGGCACCGAGGTTGCTGGGAAGGCCAGGGCCTGATTCTACAGTGGGCTCTGTGCACCTCCCTGCCCCGGGGCCTCTCTAGGCCAAGGAGAAACTAAACTGTCTGCTGTGGATACGCAGGCAGGAAAGAGCACATCTTCCCTCCCTTTTCCTTGCTTTTCCAGAAGCCCATACCCATGGTCATTATAGTCTTACGATCTCCATGGTTTGGTGACAAGATAGAATATGTTTGAAATCAAGACAGAATGCCTGCACACTGAACTATATAGTGATGGGGTGTGAGTAGTAATATGGTGTACTAAATAAACTACTAAACAATTGTTTTCAACATAATACTACATGGAAGGTATTTTTACCTTATTTTAAACATGGGGAAACTAAGACACAGAAAGATGATGTCTTTTCAAAGTCACCCAATAATTAGCAGGAAAAGGATTTGAACTGAGACTAGTCTTTTTATTCCTAAAGCATATATCCTTTATTATTAAGCCATACTTTCCCCATCTTTTTTTTTTAATCTTTATTGTTGAATGTATTACAGATGTTCCTCATTTTTTCCCCCATTGACCCCCCTCCCCCTTCCCAACCCCCTCCTGCCTTTTCCCAAACTGTTGTCTGTGTCCATTGATTATGCATATAAGTTCTTTCATTTATTTCTTCCCTCCCCCCAACTCCCTTCTCTTTGAGGTTTGTCAGTCTAGCAACCAATTTGTACTTCTTAATCTCTTCACCTTTTTCACCCATTCCCCCAACCCCCTTCCCATCTGGCAACCAACAAAATATTCTCTGTATCTATGAGAATGTTTCTGTTCTACCTGTTCATTTTGTTTGTAGATTCCATTGCCGATGAATATGTATTCATTGCCATTTGGTTTGTTCATATATTTTATCTTTTTCTTCAAAAAGACCCTTCATCATTTCATATAATAATGGTCTGGTGGTGATGAACTCCTTTAACTTTTTCGTGTCTGGGAAACTCTTTATATGGCCATCGATTCTAAATGACAGCTTTGCAGGATAGAGTAATCTTGGTTGTAGGTCTTGCTTTTCATCACTCTGAATATTTCTTGCCACTCCCTTCTGGCCTGCAAAGTTGCTTTTGAGAAATCAGCTGACAGTCTTATGGGAACTCCCTTGTAGGTCATTATCTGCTTTTCTCTTGCTGCTTTTAAGATTCTCTCTTTGTCTTGAACCTTTTGCATTTTGATGATGATGTGTCTTGGTGTGAGCTTCTTGGGGTTCACCTTGTTTGGGACTCTCTGTGCTTCCTGGACTTGTATGTCTGTTTCCTTCACTAAGTTAGGGAAGTTTTCTGCCATTCTTGTTTCAAATAGTTTTTCAATTTCTTGTTCCCTCTCTTCTTCTGGCACCCCCAAGATGCAAATGTTGGCACGCTTGAAGTTGACCCAGAGGCTCCTTACACTATCCTCATTTTTTTGGATTCTTTTTGCTGTTCTGATTGGGTGTTTTTGGCTTCCTTGTTTTCTGCTTCAAATCGATGGTTTGCTTCTTGGCTTTACCTACTCTACTATTGAATCTGAGTAAATTATTCTTTATTTCAGTTAATGCCTCCTTCATTTCTGACTGTGCATCCTTCATTTCTGACTGGTCCTTTTTAATGCTCTTAAGGCCCTCACTAAGTTCATTGAGCATCCTTATAAGCAGTATTTTGAACTCAGCATCTGTTAGGTTGCTTATCTCCATTTTGCTTATTTCTTTTCCTGGAGTTTTATTCTGTTCTTTCATTTGGGACCTATTTCTTTGTCTCCTCATTTTGGCTGTCTCTCTGTGTTTGTTTCTGTGTATTACTTATCGAGAGGTATGGGGCCATCTAGACTAGATGCTGCTTGTCTGAAAGAATTTAGGAAAACCTGAGGCAGGATCCAAGACAGGCCAATCCTATGGTTAAGCAACTGGCAACAGCTCGGGTGGGCCTGAAAGTTGTGTGGGGCGGGGCAGAGCGGGGCCTCAGGGAATCACCA